CTGCAGTTTTGCTTTTGTTTCTCTTGATCAGAAGCCAGAACTCTGCTAGAGTTCTGCCTGCATCTGTGCGCTGACATGAGGTTTTCCCATTTCATTCCCTTTTAATGAGTAGTCTCTGTATTAATGCAATTACTGAACTGACCATGCCCTAACAACTTCCACACAGAGGAGCAGAGCTCTCCTTTTCTGTTCCACATACAGGAAACCTTTACAAAAGAGGCTCTCACCTTGGGAAATTACATTCAGCCGCATTCATACTTTTCCTTCAGAAGCTCTTTAGACCAAGCTGATTGCTCCCAGTTTATCTACAGCCCCTGGGGCAGTAGCAACTGGGAGACTGCGGAAGGCCCCCGACCAGGGAAGGACCAGTCTGCCCACAGCCCCGAACCCCAGCATCGCTCTGCCACTTGCTGTAGCAGCCCAGCGCAGCTGCAGGCAGTGGTGTGGTCGCCCCTCTCCATCAGGCTTTGGCCATTCCGTTATTCAGGGTTGAGAAAGACACCTTTCATAGCTGGTGTTTAAAACACTATTCTAATACTTTTTTTATATATGGCAGTTGATGTTAGGCTTCCAATACTGTGACCAAAAGGAAAGGTTTTCTATGGGACTGGTGTGCTTCGTGTTTCAGAAACATCTGCTCTGACACAGACCTGCAGCTAAGCCGAAACAAGGGGCTCTTTTGCTTCACCTCAGCTGACCTTCAGCAGCTTCGGTCCGACTCATAAATTTACAGCATGTCTGGATTAGATGGTAAGGGCAATCATGGCAACTAAGAGCACGGAAAGAAAACTGTGGTGGTTTTTTCTCTCCAAATTGCGCTAATCTCACTCTGGTGATGTCTTTTGTTTGGATACACAGTGAGCTGGCACTCTGACTTCTCCATCTCTTGTAGGGTGTTACTTTGGCTTGTCTCGAAGGACTGCACTATTGCCAAGAAACTTTGAGCTCCCCATTTTCAAACTTTCAGCTTTTTCTGTAACTCTCTCTTTGTGTATTATCAAGCTATGATGATTTATATAATCCTATCCTCCCAATTCGATAGTATCATTTCCAAATGTCACCGAATATCTGAATCTGCTATTACTAGCAGCCCCTGAATCTTTCTATTTAACTTTCCTTCTTTCTTCTGGCTGACCTGGTTTACTCTTGAATAATGAATGTGAGGTATCGTTCCCTGTGTACCTCCATTTTCTTACAACGTAAAATGATTGACTTACTGTCAGTTGTACTGAGGCACACTATGGAGAACGTGCTGAGCTCAGAGCAATCATCTGAGCAGCCCTTGTGATGGGTATCTGAGTTTATTTGATCAGTGAGACTGCCCAGCTCTTCAGTCTGATTCAGGGAGTGCTTTTGAGAAAAACAGCAGACTGCAACCGGTCTCGGTGACCGCGAGAGGGGCAGAAAGATGCATGAAATGATGCAGGGCTTGCTCAAGCTTGGAAGAACGCAGAGAATCAGAGCAGAGGACTCTGTAAATAGTTTAGACCTTATCCTTACACTCGCTTTGCAAACAGAAGTTCTGGTCACAGGAAGGCACTGCCCTCGCACGTACTCCTGGGTCTAGCAGTCAGAGAGCAGCAGTAGAAGAGACCCACTGAGCAGAAGCTGCAATTCTCAATTACTTTGTTTCAGGATGGCTTCATTCAAGTGTTAGATCCCTTTCTGTATTACCACAGCACTGCTCCACACGACTGTTATGTGGCTCAAGCTCCAGGCCTGCTCCATTTCTTTTGCAGGCTATCGTTCAGTCTGGATGAGCAAATGAAATAAGCTCTTTGCTGTATATAGTCCCATTACTTCTAACTTATGCCCTTCTTTATGCCATTCAAAACACTCCCTTTTCCTCTTCTGAATTCAAGACTTGTGACTTACCAGAATACACAGCACATACAACTTCAATTTCACAGTGAAAATGTGGGTATGCTGTTTCATCTTAACATTTATTTAGGTTTTCCCATAGTTCAAACAAAACAGGACATCCCATTTCAGCTGATAAAATAAAAAAAAAAAAACAAAACAACAACCCACTTCTACAAAGTTACCCAGTGTTTAGACTTTCTTATTTTACAAAACAAAAAGGTAGGAACATGTTACAAAATAATCGTCAAACCAATCAATGTCAATAGTGCAAAGAATGAATTGCAAGTATAGGAGAGAGAGGGAGGGAGGGTAGGACGGATGGGAGGATGGATGGATGTGTGGGTGGGTGGCTGAACAAACCAGGAAAGCTAGAACAGCTATGCCTGTTATCACACAAAATTTTGTATCTCGGACAACTCATGATGTAGATTTAACTTTAGTGGGAGAAGAGTTTAAGTACTTCATCCATAAATGATCTCAGTGTGCTGCAAATTCTTGTGCTGGCCAGTTCTGGAGATGAATACAGCTATAAACACGAGCTGCTAAGAGTCACTGAAAGGAATTTTTTACCCTCTGGAACAGAGGTGACCTATTGACAGCTTGATTAGTTTGTGTGCATTCAAGGGCCAAGGAAATTACTGAGCATTTCATGCGAGCAACAGCCTAAGTACCTCCAGGCTGAACTTCGTACGCTTCTTCCTCTTGCTTTCATGCTCTTTTGCATGCAATTGCTCTCTATCCTGGGAAGTGAATGATCAAGAGGGAGTTTTAGCAGCTACTAAGTCATGTGGACAGGTAGACCAACAGGTCTTGGATGTCCCATCAAGTCAATATGTCAGCCAGCAACCCACCAGAAAAGGTAAATTATTTCTGCAATGTTTCTTATGATACTGCTACAATGAAGAACCTAAAATCCATCTCCTTCATAGGATGACTAAATTTGAGTCTGAATAAAATAAAGGACAAAAATAACATCAGTCTGTTAAGTATTTCTCAGCTGAATTTGCCCATTTTCCTTTGCTAGCAGAGTGTCCATAGTTAATAAATGTAAGAGACATTCACTAAAATAAGGTCAGCTGCCCAGAGATGTTGTTCATCTTTACCCCTTGTGATTAAAGACTTCTTATTTTTCTAGGCAAAATTCCCTGCAATACCTCAAGTTTTACCACTGTACAAAAATGAAACAAAACCATAATGAGAAATAGAAAGGCGGCTGAAAGTGGGAATAGCTTCAGGGAGTCAATGTATGCTTTCCTTGAAGGCACATCTCCTGCACAGAGTATGTGAGTACTACAAAGCTTTCAAATAAGCCAAAGGACAGTGATTATATCTTTCTCAAAAGGAGCATTAAACTGAAACTATTCAAAGAGGCTTTTCCCCAAGATAAAAAAGAATAAAAACCATCCCCACTACAGGCATAGCTTGTAAATCTAAATCATTTCTGCTACTCTAAAACCAACAAACTTCTCAGCTCTTTTCCCCTCGCTCTCATCCACAGTCTGTCCAAATTACTGCTGCACCCTCATGGGTGACGAGTATATGGTTCACGTACATAAAGTTCATACGTGACAGTACCTAACACTGAAAAATTGGCACTGTTTAATCAAGCAAGAACAGTGGAAACCTGAAAAAGGGCACTTAGGATCCCAGTGTTCAGATGCTCGGTGCTCGTAATGGTGCTGGACCGAAAAGAATTCAGTGGTGACAACTGGTGATACCAACTCCAGATTTTCTGAAGATTTTGGTTGTTAGTGCGCTTTTGAAAAATCAGATTACTTACTCTAGTGCTTCAATAGGAAATAAGATCTTTTGAAACTCTGGCTGAGGTATTAATCCTAAACTCTTGAAAATTCAGTGGCAGGTACATCAGAAAAATATTCTCCAGAGATCAGAATGGATTAAAATAGCTTTTTTATAAACCAGAACACTTTTCCAGTTTTGCTTGCATAACACTGGGAAGCCTGGAAGAGATACTTCTGTGTACAACTAATTACACAACAGAAATCAGAGTTAGGCCCATACTCTTTCTTTCATTCATTAACTTTGAATTAAAATAATGAATCAGTGATAAAGAGGTAGAGAAATTAAGTAAATCCAGAAATCTCCAGTATGTTCATGTTTCAATTTTGGGGGCATGAAATATTATGTGGCTGAAGTATGATTGAGACTGAGTAGTTTAAGAATTCAACAGAGATGGAAAATTATATTCCTTTGATTTTTCTCCTCTCTTTAAGAAGTAAATAATAATTTTATTTGCTATTACTTATTTGTGTTTTCAAGGGCTGGGGAGGGGGCAATAGGCAAAAATTCAGACACCGAGCCTGCAGATCAGAGTAGGAAATCTCCCGACTGTTTCCTTCACAAAACGTTCTCACAATTCCTCAGCAACATCTCAGCGCTCCTTCAGCTTGGTTTTGTTGGATTTCTTGCTGGTCCTTTTCAGAAACTGTACACTGGGAGCTGCAGTGAAAAACAGGAAAAAAACACCCTGACGGTCTTTGAATGCCTTTGAAAAGAAGAGTGAATTTTGTAGAGAGGAGTTGCCATGCAACTCATCACAGCCAGCCTGTAACAGAGCTGAGAATCAGTCCGGAATTCAGTGCCGTGCTCTCACATATTTCACAACCTATGCAAGTTATCATTTAATAAATAATAATTCTCTGCACTTTTTCAGTACTTTTAAACCACTGATCTCAAATGCTTCATAAAAGTTAACAGCGTTCTTCCATTTACAGAGAGATGCTGCAAAGGCTTAGTATGAACTGGTGTGCCTGGTTATTAAGAGTTCCTAGAAGGACTGAGACGTCACGTGTTTACAGAGGTGTACGTGTGTAAATATGTATCACTAGGTGGACATAGGCCTGAAATTTAGGTGCATATAAAAAGGCCTTTGTAAGTTCCCTATCATTTGTTTTAAATTCTACCACTACCAGCGTTAAACTCAACGTAATTAATCTCATGTTTTATTTGGGATTTTAACATTGCAGTGATTTTAATAGGAGTCACACTGAAAGTAGTAAATCGAGAGTGTATTAATTTTCTGTTATAGTGAATGTAAATAAAATAAATGTATAAGTTTATAAAAAAGCTTTCATTTTAATTCATTATGATTTTAAATTACATTGCCAAGGCTTTCCAAGTGTGTGATTTTGAAGTCAGCAGTAACCTTTCAAAAGATAAAAGATTTAATAAATTACTTTTTTTACATTTAAAAGTACCTCAAGACAAAATATTACGCAAGGCATGGAAACTACAAAAAATGGGTACTTTGAACGCTGTTTTCTCTGAAAGTATGTATGAATGAGTGATTTTTGCCTATTGCATTTTTGTTTAGAAAGAAGTTTTAAGACTTGCTGTTACTTTCAGCTAAGTGGAGATAAAAAAAAATCTCCATGATGGAAGCTTGTTGTTAATTTTTGAAAAGAGATTTTGGGTCCCAGTTAGTGGGGGTTCTATAAAGATGCGACTTACTTATGTTGTAGGTTCAAGATAGAATATGAAAATAGTATTTTGCTGGACAGACTTCCAAGGATTTTCAGGAAGGCAAACAGCATTGTCTGCTAAAGTAACTGTGCTCTGACATTTTCAATAATCGCCCACCTTACCCATCCAGGAAAACATATAACAAAACCCAAACCCCAATGTTTTTCCCTTAAATACCTTTCTATGCAGGAATGATCTAATCTTAGCAAAGTCCCTCCTGTATCTCCTCTATTATAACGTACATTCCCTGTTACTAGCAGCCATAACCATGTTCAGTCAAGATAACAGAACAGCCCAGACTAAGAAATAATTTTTTTTAAGAAATTGGAGAGGCTTTCTTGTAAGTTGTGCAGACCCCATGAAAACGTGCACGAAGACATGTTGTTGCTCAGGGGACGAGAGGGGAAGGGGTGACTAGAACAGCTACATGATTAGCTGTCCTGGCTGTAGTTCATCTGCTTCACCATTTACTATGTTTAAGATGCAGAGTTTGTGGATTCTCCAGAATGATGCTCAGGGTTTTCACTCTGTTGACCACTTCAGAAATGAGATTTTATATCATTTTTCACTCAATGCTCCCTGGGTATTACCTGGCAGTTCTGAAGGAAGTGAATCTACCAATAACCAAATCAACAGGGATACAAAAACCGTGCTTCTTGTAGGAGGGTAAGATTATAAGTGAGATAAAGGCTGCTTTCGGGTTTGGCTGTGATGGTGGCCAGACCATACGTCAGTGCAGAACCTAGATGGTGAAGAGGCAGAAAAGGCAGGCTGGACTGTAATACACGTCATTCTGTCTATACCCCAACTGTACTGACATCGTTCCAGCAAAAGCCCATAGGTCCGCTCCAGACAAACCACTGACAAGCTTCTTCTCAAAGTATGGATGATCACAAGGAAAAATAGTACTCTTCAGAGCATTATTTTAAAAGTAGTACTCCATACTTTTTTAAAGAAAAATACCCAAAACCCTGCAAGTCCTTTCTTCCAGGTCTGTTATAGACTGATCTTCCTTCACTGCATAGCACATTCATTGACATTTGCAGCATCTTCTCCCTTCAGATCCTCATTCAAGCTTTTTTTCTGCTCTATTTCAACCTGGCAGAGGAAACAGAGGAAGAACATTTGTAATGAGAAAGGAAAAGAAAAGATTTAAAAATCTTCCTTAGTGGTGATTGGTGTCCTGCTCAGGTGAAGAAATTCTTGGTAAATTGACAGGGTTGTGAAGAGACTTAGACTGAGGAGGGAAAGCTGGGTTTGATTTACTGTGTTTTCAGTCTAATCCAAACAGTTTTATGATTCAACAGTGTCATGACATAATTTCTAGAAGAAATGATGTCATGCAGAGAAGCAGTTTCACACGATTTTATATTCATTACCACCCCCAGCTGTACTCCGAATCCAAACCCAGAACCAAATCTGCAGAGGATGAGTGGCTTCCTAAATGACAACAGAAGACCAGCCTCAATTTTAAGCTCCACAAAGACTGATGTATAAAGCAAAGAGATTAATTTACAAAATGCATGCCTATGTTTGTCTTCTAAATTTTAACACCCCCAAAACCTCAGGGATAATCCAATGTTTTATTCTTAAAAGGTATACTTAGGAAGATCAAATACCATCTCTAGGGAATTTAAGAGACTACTAAAAATGTAATTACAATTACCATTAAAAATATGTGCCATGAGAATCTTTTCAGCATCTCTCATCATTGCTCTTGAAGAAGGCAGGTAGGATGCCATTCTCTCTGCTGAGTGATCAGCTAACACACAAATTCTGGCACACTGAGATTCTTGGCAGGTACGTACACACTGCATTTTCCCATCTGCTCCTCTCCTTAGGGCAGGCAGGAAGAAGAAATATTTAAGCACAGAAATAATGCGATCCTTTTGTCTGCTGTAGCACTCCCACTGTAGCTGCTATGAAGAGCAGCAAAACTCCCCTGTTCACGCTCTTACTGTACCAGCTAATCCCCAGGAGCTTGCTGCGTGCGTGTGCTCTTCCACAGAGCAATGGCAAGCAAGTTCATTCCATCTTCACTGAGGGATAATCCACTGCTTGTTTGCCATGAATCAATAGGCTGCACGTGGGTAGCTACTGCACAGAGCCTGGCATGTGCCACATTCCCACCTCATCGTCCCATGGTATTTTATTTGTCTGCCCACACTTTTCAAGACAATGTAGTATGCAGAGTAACCACGGTGATTGCCACACGCTCAATTTTACCTTGTAACTGTAGTGTGCTGAATAGTTGACCCACTTCCTCACATCGACCTTGTCCTCAACGGAAATGGACCGAACGGTGGCTTTGGATGCAGAAGTAGAGGGCATGTCAAATTCCACGTCTACATAGCGGACAAAACTGGAAGGCACTTCCCGGTCAGAGCCAAGCTCTAGGTGACAGAAGAAGCAGTGAGGATGGCCAGAAGCTGGAAAAAGAGAGCAAACAGATATGAAAGTTGTGTTGGATGGATCAAAAAAGACAACATTTAGGAGGAAGCAACATCACAAAACTGCAAAAAACCCAGAATCTGCCTAGGTGAGCTAGTTTGTAGCAAGTGACGGTATCTTACCTGCTTCAATACCATTGGGAGTTTCCAGAGGAACTAAACCAAATAAACAGCAAAAAGGACTGCCAGCACTCTAGTTTGCTTTTAGTGGGTGAAAATACAAGATGTAAATCAAGCACCATAGGGTAAAGGTCTTTCCCCTCTTCTGATTCCCCCAATTTCTGATTGAAGGGATCTAACTATGTGTAAATTAAAGCAATGTATAAATAAATGAACGCAATCCTTGTCTGCCACTGTTAGAGGCTCAAGGATTTTTGACTACATGTTCATTGGGAAAGTTCTCCACAGAGCTTAGCAAGGTGTACAGGAGAGAGAAAAGGAAGGAGGAAGGCAGGCAGAGTAAAAAGAACTGGATGGGGAAAGCCCTCTCCCTGGGAGGAGGAGGAAAACATAGCCTGTGAAAGACTTGCAAGCCTAGGCCTTGAAAAGGAATTCAGCTCCTCATCCAGAGCTTAGCCCAAAAGTCAGCCTTGTTGAGCTGAAGCTTGAAAAGCAAGATGTGGGATTTTGAGATATTGCTTGTCCCAACAGGATGAAACTGAGCAGTCTTTAGAGGGCTCAGGCATTGCAATGTCCCACTTAGCCTCTGAAACAGAGTTGGAAAAAAATTTATGGGTAAAAATTTCATCTAGAGTCAGCCCCATCGTTCCAAACAGTCTAGCTAGAGTTTCCTCCCAGCTGGAAGGTTTATAAACTTACGTCTGTGCAGCAAATCCAATGAGAGGCTATGCAGCTCAGCAGAGACCATAGAGATACACAGCACCACAGCTGAAGCCAAGTTAGGAATGAGCGGGTGCAGTATTGAGCAGATACAAAAGCTCGAGTTCTGCAAGCATTAAAATATATCACCTGCTTTTCATCAGGATTAATTATCCCAAGCAGAGTTGCCCTGGTTCTAGAGCGAGATGGGATCTTTCTCGGATAGCACTTCCCAGCTTTTCATACCTGGAGCATGCTTTTTCTGGATAAAAAGCAGTGGTGCACAGCAGACCTTCAGGATGATCCCACCCACCATGGGCTAGCAGCAGCCCCACATGCTCTCATGGAGAGCATTGTACCCTCCAGCACCGCAGGGCTTTTGCTTCTGCCCAGTCCTTGAGCTTGGCTGTGGTGGGCAGACCCGTGCCCACAGCAGTGCACTTCAGCCTCTGCCATGGGACGCTCGGGTGCCACTGCACGTGCCTAGGAATCACTGCTCTCTGGCACTGCATTACGGAGATGCTTAAAAATGAGTCATTCCTGGCTCAAAAATTCCATGTTCAGCATTCAGTAGTGGCATCCAACTCCCAGCCTCAGGCTCCCCATCCATTTGTATCTCTTTTCTCACCCTGTACCAGTCTCAGCAGACTCATTGCAATCCTTCCTGCTCATCTGCTTTGCTATGCTTTTCTTCTCCTCTCCTCTGCCCTCTCCTGTCCTCTCCTCTTGTTTGCTGTGGGCTGCTCCCTCCTTGACTGCCTGGGTTGCAGCGGAGGCCCACAGCAGCTCAGGAGAGGTGGCTCTGTGCTCTGGCACAAGCCACATCCACAGCTACAAAACGTTCCGCATGCGCCACTACGCTCCTGAGATGGCGTGTGCTCAGTTGCTTTTGGGATGGACACATGTGAAGGTAACACTGGGAAGTGTTTAACTGGGCTTGAGCACACTGCGTGCAGGTGCCTTGGAGATCTGAGCTTTTAAACTCTTCATAATTTCAACTGGACACGTGGAACCAGCAACCACTCTTCTAACACACCTGAATGTTGGTGGATATTCATAGGCTCAAAAAAAAAAAAAAAAAGGAGGGGGGAATAAAGGGAAAAAAGGCAAAAAAAAGTTAATGCAATGCAATTAACAAAGCAATTTTCCAATAATTTAATTTCGCCTAGTAGGAGTACCCGCTAACAGAAAAGACCATGCACAACACTCAAAAAAATATAGAAGTTATTAATTTAAACAAGCTCAGCATGGTAGGCAACCAGATGAACCAATTAAGAAAGCAACTTGTCCACCAAATCTATAGCACAAATACCAAGCACATCAGCGTTCGTTGGTGTCCTGTGCGTGAGGCACACAAGGCACACTTTCTATAGGCTTTCTGTTTGTTCAACAGGCTCATTCAGAGCTCTTTCTCTAACAGACAGGTACACTTTTCAGCAAAATCAGGAGGAAATCAACAGACTGCTTTTGTTTTGCATCTCTGGCGTCCCTGAGCTTCCAGCATTTCATTCTGACAATCAAGGGTCTGATAATATAGTTCATATATATCCACCGATAATCTGTTCCAAAGGACTCTGATGTCCCAACATGTTGGATTAAAGGATTTAATTTACTTCAGAAAGTGTATCAGGCAGCATGCCTGGGATCCACAGCCAAACTCGGCCAAAGTTCAAATATCCACATCCAAGGCTCTGCACAGAGGCTGCATCCCTGCTTTTGCTGGGGGGTTAAAAAAAAAAACCAAGCAAACACATGGAGCCCAGCCAGCTGCAACTGAAGCTCTGCAGAGCCTGTAAATAGGTTTCCTTTATCAACTGCTTTGATCATATTAATTGCGAATATGAGAAGGGCAATGAAGTTTAACACGCTATTTTGGAAAGGATTCAGCAATGTGCTCAGTAGAATCCAGTCCATAGGTTTTTTTTAGGTCAAATCATACTCAGGGTACACACAGTCCTTCATTTGTCCCATGCTTTTCCATGTCCGGCCAGAAGCAGACGCTTTGGCACCAAAATAATACAGACAGTGCTGACAAGTTCCTATAGTGAGAGCGCAAAGGGCCCCGTCCCCTTAGAAAGCACAAAGAGAAAACATTTGGATGAGACAGTGAAGCTGCTGAAATAACTCTTTAACAATTTGGGTGCGAGGATACTACAACCTGAATGCAAGCGGTGAGCATCGGGAGGGCTGGGCTTTCCTCCCTGTGGTGCGGGCCGGCAGGGCAGACCACGGGCAGGGCTGATGGCGTCGTACGCATCACGTCTGCACAGAGCCTGCGCCAGCCTGCATTCAAGGAATGGAGTGAAGAGCATGAGGTCCAGGTGGCAACCTGGAGACCTCTGGAGGTTCTGGGATGGCATTTGCAAGGGACTCATGAGTCAGAGCACACGACATGGGTGAACAAAGGGTCCCATACTAAGTCTGTGCCTACGTATGTACTACTTTGACAGGGGCTGGCAGACGGGCACGCATGCTGGAGGGAGCCATGCAATGCATATGCCCCCAGGTTGTGTGGACAGGTTGTGTGGCCTCTGGAGGTAGGGTGGAGCTGGAGACTGTGGCTACCTGCAGTGTGCAATGCACCAGCTGCAGTGTGATGCCACCACCTCTCTCCTGCTCTGGAGCCCCAGGCACCAGAGCAGTTCATTAGCAGACCAGACATTTACAGAGGACCCAGAGCGCTGACAGGGGTGAACTGCAGGTGCCACACTAAGAAAGCATGAAGTACGAGTCAGGGGAATATTTTTATAGTTAGTGCTTGAGAACTGCATTATTTATAGGGACTTCTGCAAATATTATACGACTTGTGAGTAGGGCTGGATACAGCCAAGCATGCACAAGGTTGGGAGTAGACCACACATCATTATCATGTGGTCAGAAGTGTATGTGGTCCATCAGGCAAGTCTAAGAAGGAGTGGGAATCAATGCTTCTGAGTACCATTTATATCCCTCTTTGTTTGCCATATACTTTGAGTAAGGAAATCCGTGGGACAAGTACTATCAAGAAATGTGAATAGTCCTTGGGAGGCAAGGTCAGATTTAAACTACACTTTGCCTGCCCTGTCATCACTTTGGGATTCCCCCTCTCTCACATACCTCATGTATCCTGGCCAAGATGGTGCTTGCAAGGCCCTTCCTTTCCCTGAAATTACATCTGACCTGGCCGGAAGGGTGAGGACACTCTCTTCCTCTCAGGATGTAAACAAATACTAACTGCCCTGTGTTCTGCACGGTGACACTGATGGATAGATGCTCTGTGGCAGGGCTCCAAGAGCAGTGCCAAGTCTGTGAAGCACTTCCCCCTGACACAGGGTATATATAATAAAGACTCACGCTGGGAGAGATGAGATCAAGGGAACAAGAGACATAGATCAACATCTCCCTCAAAGTTGTGATGGGTAAGGGAGCATCACCTTGCAGGAGGCAGTAGAGCCAGCAGTTCTGCCTCTTCTCTTGGTTTGCTACCGGCATGTTCTGTGATTGTGTTAAAAGTTTGGGTGCTTTCGTTTTCCCAGCTGTAATGTCTATGGTATTCGGAGATCTTTGGAGAGAAGGTGCCACAGAAGGCCCAGTTTCACAACATCTCATTCCCAGAGCTCATGCAGATGGCATAGTGAGATTTTCCTCCCAAGCATGTTATTGCTCATAAACAGCCTGAGGTTAATTTTTTATTACAATATTTCTCTGGAGTTCCCAATTTCTCTTTTCCTATGTCCCACGCTAAAGACAACACGGAGCCTTCACTTTTGTTAGTGATAGCCCTCCAAATTTGTAACCTATGGTGTAAGCTGGCATCCTTGGGCTGAAATGTGATCCAAAAGATTAGAAAACTTAGATCACTGTTTTGCTGACACTATAGCTCAAACTCAGGCAAAACATATGTCCTTAGAAAGTGCTAAATCTGGTACAACACTGAACTTCCAGGGAACTCCAAATACGGAAACCCACACAGTCACCCAGCTGCACTACTACAGCATTAATACTAAAAAAAGCATCTCATTTGTAAAAAGCTAGTCTAGATCACAGAAACCAAGAAGTAGAATTCACTATGAATAAAAATAAACCCGAGTTCTCTAGCTTTACTGCACACCATGGATGAGAGGCAGGAAGCAGAAGGATTGGCAGCGATGGCCAAAGGGAACAGTAGCTCGTTTGCATTACTTGAATGTTTAATTATGAACATGCTACGAGAAACACAAAGACTTGTGGGGTTTATGTTGGTATTCTCTTTTCAGGTTTAAGCTGTATTTACCTGTCTGCACTGATTACAGAAACAGCCACAAACTGGTGTTTGGAATTTTTTTTTTTTTTTAACAGTTGCATAGTATCTTCTGTTCTCTTACATTCCCTGTTCTGGGGTTGTTTACCCTGGACAAGAGGAGGCTGAGGGGAGACCTTATTGCCCTCTACAACTATCTGAAAGGAGGCTGTAGCAAGGTGGGAGTCAGCCTCTTCTCCCTGGTAATGGACGATAGGACGAGGGGGAAATGGTCTGAAGTTACAACAGGGCAGGTTTAGTTTGGACATTAGGAAAAATTTCTTCACAGAAAGGGTTGTCAGGCTCTGGAATGGGCTGCCCAGGGAGGTGGTTGAGTTCCCATCCCTGGAGGTACTTAAAAGAGGGGTAGATGAGGTGCTTAGGGACATGGTTTAGAGGTGGGATGACAGTGTTAGGTTAACGGTTGGGCTTGATGATCTTAAAGGTCTTTTCCAACCTAGACGATTCTATGATTCTATGATTCCAGACACTTTGTAGGCATCAGTTGTGGTATATGCATTGAAATATATAGCACTGGCCCACTGTGCTTGGCAATGCATGGAAAAGAAATCCTATGTGCTGGAACTACAGCAATTTATCTGGTCCTATCATTCAGCCCTGTAGCATACTATCTTGCCTTTGCAAGTTACCTGAAAAAGCCCTGCTTCCAATGACAGTGCTAAGCACACAGAGATGTTTAATGCTTAAGGTGGTACTTATAAAAGGAGGCATATTTTTGCCTCTGGAAAACCTAAACCTGTTTTTATCATTAGCAATGTTTGTAGTATTCATAAAACTACTGCAATGAAGGGTCAGACAAATGGTTCATGCAACTAACTGATGTCCTTTGGTATACTACAGAGGATGATCTACCTCTCACCATGTAAACTCAGTACTCTCCATCTTCCAAAATATGTAACTCCTTTTAGTTTACTCCTGCAGAGATGGTATATGCACCACTCACCTGAGTTTTTGTCAGGCAGTCGGTTTATCCTCCATACGATGGAATTAAAGGCATGCTCGTATTTGGCAGTTCCCAAAGTTACTCTCATTACTGGCTCAGAACCAGAGAGACTGGTTGATCCAAAAGCGGCCCCCTTGTTCACCTTGGCTTTCAAAGATTTCTCCCCCAGGACACTCTCCCTGCGGAAGTTCTTCACCCACTCGTTTGGCACTGGGTAGCGGATCATCACATTTTCACAAGGGACCTGAGTTAAAGGGTCACGGTTGGAAGAGAACCCAGTGGACATCATCAGCCAGCTCTGCACCTCCACCTCAGCACCATTGATGCTGGCAGCTGTCCTCAGAGTAAAAGGCAAAGTTTTCTCAGCAAAGACAGTTCTAAATCGCATCAGTTCAAACCTGCAGGCATCCAAGGGGTTGAACAGGATAATACGGGAGTTATTAAACATATCCTCATCCACACATGAATGGAACCGACAGCTGTATAATTTAATCCACTTAGTGGTAGTAGTGGGCATAATATCCTGCCTTGCAACTATTTCGTTGCCTTTGATCAGGATATCATTAAGGCCCAGTCTGCATTCTGCCAGGCCAGAAAGGAAGCTGAGAACATAGATATGGGTCAGCACACTGTGCTGGAGAATCGCACTGTCTCCTTTGGCCAAGATGCCATGAAACTCATCCCTGACATCAACCGTGATTTCTTCTTCTTGATAGTTTAGTCCCACTGTGCTCAGATCTGTTGATGAGGCTGGCAAGTTCATCAGTGTATCTTGCACAGCACTGATGAAGCTAAGGAAGTCTTCATAATCTGTAGTCCCAAGCTTGATAATCTGCTCTCTCTCTGCTGTGTGAGCAATGGCTGGCTTAGGCTGATACTTCTTCTTCTCCTTGTAGGTTGTGCGGTCCAAGCGCACACTGTGTATCCTTCCATTCTCATCATAGTTCTGGAGTTTGCGCTCTGAAATCTCATGATTGATTTCAAGTTTGAATTCCCGGAAAGGCTTCTCCAGTCCTTTCTCATAAAAAAGCTGTATACATCCACTGTCGGTCAGCTTGACATATATTGGTCCCCAGTGCCTGGATGACATAATATTCTTCTTCTCTGGGATCCTGAGCATCATTGGCCATCCATCCTTTGGCTGAGCTGGTGCCAGGTTAAATAAGGCTGCATCCAGATCACATGGCATCATGGGGTCATCATCAGGCAAGGTAGGGCTGCTCACACGATCTGGGTCTCCAATCTGGAGTTGCTTGAGCTGCTCTACAGCATCTGTGTGGGTTACACTTTTGTTTGCCTCATGGAAACTGATGGTATCAGGCTCTTGATGGAGAATAATGAGAGAATCTCTTTGGCTTTTGCCTGGAGCACTGGAGACAGAAGAACTTTTGGAACGCCTGTCTCGCTCCTCAAAGAATGAGCTGAATGGATTGATGGGTGAGGGTTGGACATCTCGCAGAGATTCATCCAGGAAGGGATTAGTAGCACTCCATGGTGGTGTTTCAACAGAAGGCAACTTGGTTAAAGAGGAGAGATCTAGTTTTTGAATTTTGGAGAGCTCACCCAATGTGCTTTTAGGACGTTCTCTTTTCTTAAAGGATGTAGTGAGGTTAAAGTTAACATCTGGAGTCTGTGTTTCTGCAGGTGGGGTATCTGTTTTCAAGGGGGAAAGGTTCTGCGGTGAAAAACTGACTTCATTGTCATCAAAAGTCACCCAGCTGGGAAAGCGAACCGTGGTTGGGGTAGATGAATGCCCATTCATGGAGGTGCTGTTCAGCTGCCAGTTGACAGCCTCCATATCTACCTCTTCATCTTCCTGGAGAGACGAGGAATTGTCTTTAAAAAAAAAGAAGGGAGGGGGGGGAAATTTCAGCTAATTATTCATAAGTCACCTAGTTCTTTCCACTAGAAGAAAAGCACAGTCTGCACAATAGTTTGCATGCTCGAGAAAGGCCTATTCGTATGCTGGGCAAGAAAGATTATCAAAAGACTTGGCTAAAATGCTGAAGGGTCTGGCAAGAATTAATGAAGAAATAGCTTCAGCCAGTTTTAAATGGACAGTTTAACACAGAAAAGGAATGCACAAAAACCCCCCAAAAGGAATGACTGCAGGAAAGCAGTGATTGTATTGCTCTCATTCAAACAGAATGACCTAAAAAAGAAACTTAGCCCACATGTTGGAGTGATTGTTTGGAGCTTCCCTCTCTAAACTTTCAGGTTGCATTTCTTCTCTCCACTTATTTTCTGTCATTTGCCTGTTTTGTTCCCTCTCTCCCCTGTTCTCATTTTTTTCCCTCCGTCCCCATACCCTTTGCTCTACAGAAGAATCCAGTGGGGAGAGGGAATGAACACTGAGGAAGAGCACTTTTCCGCTCCGTCCCCACATACCTGTCAGCACATTTGCTGTTATCACAGAAGCACATGGGGATATGGTGAAGACACCATAAAAGGTGCCTAGGTAGCATTTTTTGCCCAGGATGCATTCAGCAAAGAGACTCTTTGGCTTACCCAGTGGGAAAGGGTCTGCCAGTCCTTGCATGTCTCTGAAAAATCTCTCGGAGAAGCTGTGATCTAGGGATGTATGTTAGGATAAGGAAAAACATATTTTTGACTTGTATTGTGGAAGCTGTCCTCACCCTCTGTCAGGACATGGCATCTTTGACTGCTATTTTCCTAGTCTCAGGCTCTGCCAAAACACTTCCCAGAAGCCTGCATCATATTGTGCTATTTCAATCCCAGCTCTATCTGGAGGAGATAGCGGCAGTGTTAATAAGATGTTTCCCAAAATGAACATAAATTCTCATTCTCAAATTCTGACCAGTTCCCCAAAAAGATGAGCTTGATTTCCATTCTGCTTCAACCTAATAAACAATTTGAATTTTTATTCCAGTTGCCATTTAGAAAATGAAACAGGGAATATTCATATTGGTCAAAGTCCTGCCATTAGCTTTTTATAATGCCTTGGCTAACCTGATTTTCTGGGCTCCTCAGCCCAGCTATATGGAAGTTCACCCAACCTTTTGATCTAAGGACAAAACACATCATGCAAATTCTGAGGGCTGTTATAATTGAGAATTATACATGAAGCAGAATGATATCAATTTGTTTTCCAGGCCATGATAATAACAAAGCAAAACCAAGAACAGGTAGCTTTTACAGACTATCCATGCATTTCAAAGTGTATTTGAAAAGAAGTGGCATTATCTCAATTTCTAATTTTTTTTTCCTCTACTCTGCCCTTTCACTCCCAGATTTGCAGAAGGCCTCTCTGTAGTCCCTGCTACTGGCTGCACCACTGGGTACAGTGGTGGGTCCCTTATCTGTTAAGTTTTGCCACAAGACTATAAATAGATTCGTGGGGGGAAAAAGCCAAGCAGCCAACTGACTATCATCCACAACCACACCCTAAGTGACTAAGTAATAAAAAACCCAACAGGAATAATCTGATGTTCTGATTCTCAGGTCCACACCAACACCTTCTATGTTGTCTCATGCTTTCCAGTACTTTGGTAGCAAGCATGTAATCCTCTGCAGTAAAGCAAAGGCAATGGAAAGATGCGATAAGAGTGTCTGTTTTTATGGTATTTCCGTCAAAACTTTCCCCATTTCTTTTAGGATTTCTAAAAGTCCTGTGTTGATAAGATCACTGTCTCTTAAGAGCGTACCACCTCTTTGCCATCTGCAATTATACTTGTCCTCTTTCCTGTATTTTAGCTTTTGAATTGCAGAAACCAAATGTGATTCCACAAATAAAGCATTAACACTTCTGGTAAATTTGAGAAAGGCAGATGAGAAGACCTCCTTGAGAGTCCATGTGAAAAACACACAGAAATCACCTGACAAAATTTCTTTCTAAACTGAACAAATTTTATAAAATAAATTACTTATTTGATCCAGATGCCCAGAAATACAGAAGAAACGTTAAGAGAAGATGGCTTTATAAATTTAACCATTTATATAATTTTATTTTCTAGAAAAATCAGTACACTGTTATTTGATTTGATATGTGGAAGTTTTTCTTTCCCAGACTAAAACCAAAAGTACATTCTTCTGCTGCCAAAGAACCACATGATTGGGTTTACAAGTATTTGAAGAATACAGAGGTGGTTCTAGAAAAGACAGGTTTTTAGCTTTGTCTGTAAAAGAATGACTAATAGCAGGGAGGATAAAAATAACAATATGCTAATGCAGCTAAGCATCCAAAGAAAGTTCCTGAGAACTAGACTAAATAGTGGGTATATCCCAAGAGAAATATTGGCACCTCTGCTGCAAAGGCAAATACAGCCCGGATGTCTAAGCCATCCTCTAGAAATGTCAAGATCTTTCACAACTTTCTGTCAAGAGGCAAAATAGATGAGTACTCGAAAATTTCAAAATCAAAATTTTTCCCTTCTTGACTTCTGACAAGTTCCTGAACACGGGTGATAATGTTTAAAATGCAAATGTCCTTCAATTTGGCAGCACCCCAGTAGGTCTGGGAGAAGACACTTAAGAAAGTGATTCCCTAGGTGAATGTTAAGTTCATTATTTTATTTTTTCCTTTCATAGCTGTTTTCAAAATTCCTTCCTACAAAACAAATCAAGACAATCGCTTGCTGATGGGGTGCAGACAGACTTCAACCCCAACTGACTCCTGACTGAGAAAGACTAGATCTGGATAAAAAAAGGGAGAAGTGATCAAAACTTACACATTTTTTCCTTCTTGGCCAACTTTGCTTTCCTTAGCAAATGACTTTGATAGGTGTTCACTTCCAAAAATTAAAGTATCTTTAAATTGGCTGTGCCAGATTCCAACCTGACAGGTTGCTCCAGCCATCTACAAAACACAGGAGCAGATTTACCAAGGAGGTGAAGGGGACCGTAGCTCTGTCTCCTTTCCTAGTGACACCAGCAACACGTGAGCTCTGGGGTGAGCAGCCTCAGGGGTGAGCAGCCCACACAACTATGCCTCTCTGCACTCATTCCCCCACATCAGTGGTGCCTGCAACCAGCACTGGCCATACCTTACTACATACATGCCTGAACATCATTACCAAGCCATTAAATAATTTAGAAGCTTAAGTCCCTGGTGAACAATAAAATGCCAACCTGCATTGTAAGTTGTTGGGTTTTTTCCATCCACAGGCTTCTTAATGTTTTGTTGGCTTTACAAGTGTTCAGTAGTAAAAGGGTTAATAATTTCAGTATGATAAACTGGTAAACAGTATTACATTATAATGGACAGAGAACATGTCACTGTGATCAGCCTCGTGACTCACTACAAGGAAAGAAAGCTTTGGTTCTCTTTATTGTTTCATCATTTCATTTTTTTGTTTAAGCCATTTTGGCCAAAACCACCAGGTAATATCATGTTACTTACGCCTGGGGGGAAGGCAGCCATCCAGCTGCTGAAGGAACATTGATACTGCAAACTGTTCATGACCGAAACTGTGCCACAGAAGTAGGAAGAAGATCTGAGAGTGTTACACACCTTTTAAAAAGAAAGGCAGATAACGACTTTAAGAAATGGATCTGAGCAAAAGCCTGGACTTTGAAATTTCTGAGTACTTATCTATTTTGCCTCTTGACAGAAATTAGGTCAGAGCTTCATGGAGTTTCTGTTACCTGAACATATTAATTTACATTTCATTCAGATAGGTCTACTTTACACTTCAGTCTGTAGTACAGGCATACCCTTAACACCGTCACACCTTCCAACGGGGTACTCGCTTCCTTGATGTAGCCAACACCAGTCCCCCAAAGTACACCCTGCTAAGTTTTCTGTTGGCGTAGCCGCATCTATTCTAGCACACTTGCTGGGAAAGTAATCTACATAAAGTCCACCAGACACTGGCATACAGGGGGGTACTACTTCAGACTTGTCAGGGTAGTGCTTCAGACTTCAGCGAGGTCAAGAGGATGCCGGTTACAAAACCTGTAGCGTCTCTGTGTTCATAAGCAATGATAGAAAAACAGAAAGCACAGATAAGAGAATCTGGGAGAAATCACGGAGCAGGCTGTCGCGCAATTATCTCTCCACGACAAAGGCTGTACTTTCACATACTTTCTATGACATCCATACCTGGTCATTTCCTTGCATTTCTTTTTCATATCCAAATCACAACAACTGTGTACTCTTTTTTTTCCTTTTTTTGGTGGTCCATCATGTTTCTGATCCTCCCAAGACAGACAGGGTAGTTTAAAGCCAGTGGGCTATTGCTCTGAAATGATACAACCAGGCTCCTATTTCCAGCCTGGCCCCTGACCTGCTACGTGGCTCTGAGGAAAACGCCTCATCGCTTTCACTCTCACAGCTTCTGGTTCTCTTCCCACTTTTTGTAATTTTTGACTAGAAGAGTGTTAAATGTGGAACAGTGATTGTTCCTCTGTCCTACAGTACCCAGCACATTTCTAGGACTCCCACAGAATACAGTCTAAGTGTGTAAACATCACAAAGCCGGATATAAACCTATAAAATTATTTGATTAATATTTCTGTTATATCTATGCACTTGCAAAGAGTTTCAGGCTTGGTACAAGGCATGAAGCCAGGCCTGGTTTTGTAAGCTTTCCTGTTTATCACAGCTCTGCTAATGGTGGAAGGTCAAATGTGTTACTGCTGCAGACATCAGCGTGACTTTCTCTAGCTAAACAAAGCTACAGTGGAAAAGTGCCATAGAAATCAGTTGCAAGAATCTGCAACTCCAAGCACAGAAATCTTCTTGCCTGTGGGACATTACTACCTGCTTATTTTGCACAGAGGGTATCCCTGTAAGGATAACAGTTATTACCTCCACATGCTTCCTGGGTAGCTATGCTATCAATCAGCATATGGTCACATTAAGGGAATACCTAGAA